GTCGTTGTGGAGGTAGCTTTAAGACCCTCCTCTTAACTGCTTGGAAGACAGTCATCTCCTGACTGCCTGCAGATCAAAATGTACAACTCTCAGCATCTCCAGCACCATGTCTGCCTGCACGTTGCCATGCTTCCCGCCAGGAGCCCCAATTAAAAGTTTGCCTTGGTAAGAGTTACCTTGGTCATGGTATCTCTTCATAGCAGTAAAACCCAAACTAAGATGGGAAAGGACAGATTTCTGGTCCCTGTAACTAGAGGCCCAGGGTTGCCTTCAGGATTAGCTAGGCTCAAGGTTTAACATGTCCTCCAAACTCTCTCTCTTTCTGTTAGTTCACTTCTGCAAACTGGCAAAGAGGGGTCACTTGGCTCCTTTGACTGGAATCCTCTTAGCTTAGCACCCTCAATCTGTGTTTGTGTGTGGAAAAGGAACCAGAGAGGATTAATGTCTCTTCTCCAGTGTTTACAAATTCAAACCAGGAGTCTGTTTGCCCCAGTGTGGGCCATGTACTTGTAATTGAGACAGCTCTAAGAGAATACGGAATCATCAGATCATCAGATCAAACGGAAGGGGGGAGAGGGTCTATTCCCAGGAGAAAGAGCAACCAACGGCACATATGACAGAATTTGGGGGACACCCAAGCCTTACCTGTACAATGTTCCTTGGGAGCTCCTCACTATAGGGGTGTGATCTTTTCCTACTGAATGGATAATAGTTTTGCCACTCGCTTGGACCCACAGACTGCAGCAGAAGAGCAAGCATGCCTGTTCTAAGTCTTGGCCTCTTCTTCCCACCTGTTTCCCTGCTATGCAAACATGCCCAGCACAGCCCATGAGATAAAAGAAACCAGAGCAGAGCTAAGTCAGCCAACTGTTGTACCTAAGGCCTCCCTCAGATGCAGAGATGAGTAGAGCTACTGGTCGGTCATCTAGGGATGAAAGAGGAAGCTAGCAGAGAGCAGCTCAAAGAAATAGACTCACATAGCCAGCACATAGACTCAGAGATAGATCACACTGGTACAGTTGTACAGCCTGGAGTTTTAAAGTTACAATATGTGGTTACTGTAGCAACAGAAAATGGATAAGTTGTATCGACTATGCCTTCTGTTCTGCTGCCAACCTGGTGGCTTGCATAGTACTTAGTTATAAATACTGTTGCAAAGATGTTAAGTTAGATATTCTTCTGTTGCGAAGTTCACAGTGGATTGATATCATTTATTTTAAATACTTGTTTACAGTGTATGGTGTTTCCCCCACTAGCTCTTTGTAGAGTCCTTTTGTGTTTTGTTGATTATCTTAGTTCGGGTTACTATTGCAGTGATGAAACACCATGGCCAAAGCAAGTTGGGAAGAAACAGGTTTATTTGGCTTACACTTCCTCATCATTCACTGTTCATCACCAAAGGAAGTCAGGACAGGAACTCAAACAGGGCAGAAACCTGGAGGCAGGAGCTGATGCAGAGGCCATGGAGGGGTGCTGCTTACTGGGTTGGTCCTCATGGCTTGCTCAACCTGCTTTCTTAAAGAACCTAGGGCCAGATGTCCAGGAGTGTCATGATCCACAATGGGCAGTCCTCCCCAATCAATAACTAATTAAGAAATTAATTAGTGCCACCTGCTTGCTTACAGCCTGATCTTATAGAGGCATTTTTCTCAATTAAGGCTTCTCCTCTCTGTTGACTATAACATGTGTCAAATGGATAGAAAACTAGCCAGGATGTTGGGTCTTTATTTTCTCTCTCAATCCTTTTTCAGTCTGTTTTAGAATCAGACTAAGGACACATGGAAGTTCTGAGTATAATGAATACCATTCAAAATAGTTGGGAAATATTGCTCAAAGTTCTGTTCTCCATGTTTGTTTTATGAATTCACTTGCAATTGAGTTAGTTTTATGTTGTCTAGGGCAATGTGTTGAGTGAACACCTAGCCTGTATCCCACTGCCTTATGATACAGGTATATTCAGGAACCACGTGTATAGTGGGAGATTGGTGGTCAGTAAAAAAAAAATTTACACAAGCCAGTACTAAGTAGAAAGGGCCATGTTTAATGAGCATAGTACAATGTGACAAAGCAGTAACAGACAAACTATCTTCTTGGCTTAGACCAGTTTTTCATGTGGGGACTGTCTTGGTTTCTTTTTCTGTTGCTGTGATAAAAAAAACATCCTGACAAAAGCAACCCAAGGGAGGGAGGGGTTTAAGTCACAGTTTGAAAGCACAGTCGATCATCCAGGGGAAGTCAAGGCAGCAGGAGCTTGAAGCAGTGGGTCACATGGCATTCAGGAGGCTCCAAGGCAACAGCTCTTTTCTACCTACTGTCAGCTAATTTGATCAGTGCGGGCTTGGGCACGTCATTCCCTCCATGCTCAGAAGGAACACTGCTTTTTTTTTTTCTTACAATTTTATTAGGGCTTTCTTGGACCAGCCTCTCACAGTAGAAGCCCCTAACAGGGGCCTGATCCCTGCCCCCCCCCCTCTTTCTCTCTCTGCCTAGTCTGGCTGAGTGGAGCTCCTCCTGGACCCTAGTACAGACACACTCTTCCTTCTTTACCATTACTCTGTGCCAAATTTTGTAACTGTAGGACAGTCCACTCCTTCAAAGTGTTTTGGCTGTTTCAGGCTCTTTGTTTTTTCATATGTATTTTACAGTCACCTTGTTGGGATCCAGACAGACAGGGACATGCACACGACACACACACGCACGCACGCACGCAACAGAGTCCAAATTCAATTCAGAATCTCATTGCTTGTAGAGGTTATTCGCGGGAGAATTTGTGTCTTTAAAAAGTGAAATTTTTCTACCTGTGCACAGAATGCAATTCGTTATTTGTTGTATTGTGTTGGCCTTCAAAATGCGTCCGAGGTTCTACGCATCTCTCCACATAGTCTAACTTGGTCTAACTAGGCCCAACCTGGCTAAGCTCATGCTCCTCTGGTCTGCATCTCCCCTATGACCCCATCTCTGTCCAGCAGTCAGTGACTCTTTTGAAGGTGGAACTTGTATCGTCTAATTTTTTCTTATAAAAACAGTGGCATTGACCTGGCCACGGCTAGAATGAACTGAGGCGTTCTCAGCTCGGCAGCCAAAGCCATGAGTGACACCGAGGCAGAGGCAGGAACCTCTGGGCGGGGCCGCGCGTTGTGAGCGCGCGTCGGGGCCGTGCTCCTGGGGGCGGCGCGCGGGACAGTGGCGCTTCCGGCGGCGGGAGGCGGCGCCGAGCGGGACCGAGCGGCGCGGGTGGCGGCCGGGGAGGCGGTGAGTGGCGGGGGGCTACGGAGCGCGCGCGGGGAGCCGGGGGCGCGCGGGCTGGTGCGGTCTCGGGAGCTGCAGGGGACCCAGGAGGGTCCGCTGTGACAGCTGGGGTATGCCTGGGGCGGGTACCTACGCTCTGGGACCTCGTGGGTCCCCAGCTCTAGCCTGCGGCTAGGGAGGCCCCAGCGTGGAACTGATCTCGTGGAACTGATGTGAAGGGACGCATCACGTACCGTGCCACGCGTCCCTGGCCACCGCGTGACGAAACTTGCTGGGTGCGGGCTGCCAAGATGGCTGCCAGGGTACTGTCTCCACGAGGATGGGCGCGCGCAATTGCCAGGTGACCAGGTGGCTCTTAGTAGTTGGGACCCGGAGGTCGCGAGGAGAGACCACCCGGTGGCCGACCTCCAGCTTTTAATTTCTTCAAGGGACCGAAGTGTCCCAAGTAGAGCCATGGGACCAGCACCCTCAGCTCCCACATCATGTTACTACTGATCATCTCAGGTCCAACCGCCCCAGAATGACAATGACCATACTAAGGTCTGTGTCTCCGGGGTTAGATCTCTGACGTTTGTGTTCATCCAGTGCTGCCAAATCCTTAATAATGTCTCCATAATCCAGATTTTAAAACGGAGGCTCAGAAGTTGAATGACTTGGGTGTCACAGCTGGCCAGAGGGAAAGCCGGGCAATCCGAGTATATATATTGTTTTCACCTGTGTGCCCTTACTGACGATTTATTGAGAGACCTCGTGGAAAAGTGTAGTTCTGCTGGACTTCAGAGTTTGAGCACTTACCCAGGACCCTTCTCTATAGTCTTTTCACACACCCGATCCCTCCTCTGCTGCACCTACTTTGGGTGCCTCTAGTCAGCAGGTCTCAACTGTTGCCGTATACCAGATATTTACATTACGATTCATAACAGCAGCAAAATTGTGGTTATGAAATGACAACGAAATGATTTTATAGTTGGGAGATCACTAAACCAGGAGATGCTGTCTTACAGGTTGCAGCATTAGGGAGGTTGAAAACCACTGCCTAGATTTTTCTCAGTCTGTGTTCCAGGCAGAGGTGGGAGTAGGGAGGCAAGCACTGAGGTAAAGAAGGGGACTTTATGGCTCTTAGAATGTTGGACACAGGCTCGTTGTGTGAAGGAGAGCTGTTTGGAGGATAAATAGAAGTGCAGCAGGAAGTCCCAGTACCTCAGATGGCTCTTCTTCCCCTCAGGACCGAGGCTGTCACAGTCACAGGAATGACAGTGTTTGGGAAGAGTTTGCTAGTTCCCACCCAGCTCTGATAAGGAGTTGCTCCATCTGTGTACTCAAGGGTTATGTGAAGGGTGCAGCCAAAGGTCTGCAAAACAGAGAGAGTGCGCTTAGTTTTCTGTAAAAGTTTGGTGAAACACTCCCCCACCCCCACCCCGGGCATGTAGCAAAAGCTTCTGGCTGAGAAGAAACATCCCCTTTCCCCTCCTAACTTCCTGCCAAGAAAGCTGTAAATAGAGCCAGGCTAAAAGGAGCCACTTGCCTGTCTGTCTCTGTCTGTCTCTCTCTCTCTCTGTCTCTCTCTCTCTCTGTCTCTCTCTCTCTCTGTCTCTCTCTCTGTCTCTCTCCCTCTCTCTCTCTCTCTCTCTCTCTCTCTCTCTCTCTCTCTCTCTCTCTCTCTCTCTCTCTCTCTCTCTGTGTGTGTGTGTGTCTGTGTCTGTGTCTGTGTCTGTGTCTGTGTCTGTGTCTGTGTCTGTGTGTAGTATATGTCTCTGGATGCCCTTAGAGGCCAGAAGAGGGCATCAGCTCCCCCTGGAATCCGAGTGCCCACAGTGGCAAACTGCCAGATGTGGAATCTAGGAACCAAATTCTGGTCCTTTGAAAGAGTAACAAGTTAACCACTTATCCATCTCCCAGACCCTCACCTTGTGACTCCTGCTGCCTAAAAATGAAACAAAGTATCCCTGCAGAAATGGCAGCTTTAGCTGTGCAAACAAGGTGCCTTTGGCTGTGTGAAGTTGTGGGAAAGGTAAATATATGGTTTGGACGTCAAGGTAAGGAATCTAGAATAGACTGTAATAGCCTGTTTTGTTCCTTTTTTTTTTCTTTTCTAGTTATTCATTTGAAAGTAAAAACTCATTGTTGGGACTCTATCATTGTATAAACTTTACATATCACTTGATGAGAGAGAACACGCAGGTCCTTCATCTGTACAAAGTTCAAATTTATTCTTTAGTTAACACTATTAATTTGTAACATGATTTTATAGACTTTGTTATATATAAAATCTATGAGCTCATTTTCCCCCCTGGAGCTGAGGACTAAATTCAGGACCTTGTACTTGCTAAACAAGCATTCTACCACTGAGCTAAATTCCCAACCCCAAGTTGATTCTTTTGAGTGGCCAATCATTTGGCTGAATATGTCCAAAATATTCTGCTCATGGTTGGGTAGTGATATCATTTTTGTAGGTTAATGCTACCATCTCCAAGGAAAATCAATAAAATTTCTATATGATTTCACCCTGTTTTGGGTGACTGCTAAATGTGCGTGCGTGCGTGCGTGCGTGCATGCATGTTAAAAAGCATGTCCTGTTACAATGGGTTTGTTCTACAAACTCCTTGCTTTCAAGTCACAGACTCTAATTTTTTTTTTATCTATGGTTTAATCTCCTGAATGACTGATCATAAGGAGAGACCACTGTGGGGCAGGTGACTAACTAAAAAGACCAAACAAAAATTGTTGCAGGAATTTTCCTGCCACATTGTATTTGCAGTGGAGCTTGGTGATTGGGCAGTAGAAGAGGAGGTGGAGTTGGGAGAAGGAAAGCGGAAGGGGAGAGGAGAACAAGGAAAAAGGAGAAGGAGGGAGAAGAAAAATGGAGGCGGACGTGTGGGTCTCTAGCAGTTTTGACTAATTATTCATGTCAAAAGGTTAGATATTGGGTCATTACCCAATTCTACTTGTGTGGACATCTTGTGTATTGAGTATTTGCTGATATATAAATCCATTGAATAATCTTTAATATTAAGAGTCTTCATTCTACCGGGTACCACGAGCATGGCAGATATTGTCTGGGGCTTAGCCAAGGATCATGAGGATAACCCAGGGGCCATGCTTTGGGGGCATGGACTCCAGGAAGCTGATTGGCAGAGGCAGCCGCCACGCTGTCTCGTGGTCTAGAGCTGGTGTTCCTGGACCTCTGGCAGCTTCTAGTGTGGAAACATGGCGGCAGTCCAGGTAGCTAGCCAGACCATGCCACAACTTTTCAAAATATCAACCGTTTCAACAAATTAGTAAACAATTGGCACTGATTTAGTGTGACCATCCATTGCAGACATATCACCTCTTACATCCAAAACTATGGAAGTATAGAACCACCCAGGCTGTCACCTTGAATGGGGAAAGATAACTCAGGAGCCAAACAGTAAGCCCCACTTCCCTTTCAGTACAGGGAAAGGAGCCAGGGCAGGTGCTCAGGCACTGAGCTGTGTCCCAGCCCTAGACCTTTGCTTAGCTTCTCCAAAGTACAGTCATTTTAACCAACAACCTGCTTCCCAGTTTAATAATATAATTACCATTGTTAATCTTTAGCCAGAGCTAAAGGTTTGTCACCAATCGATGAGGAAGCTCATTATGTGTTCATTTTCTTTGAAATTTCAGAGAATTCCTTTTTTTAAAACCAATAATTGTACATATTCTGGCATGTGTCTAAAGGTTTGAAATTCGATTTATTTTGAAGAAAGCTTTAGCTTAGACACCTCTGAGGATCTCTGGAAAATGAGTGCAGCGCCCCCCCCCCCTTCTCTGTCAGCCACTGCCAATGAGGACAGCAGCTTCCTCTCTCCAACATGGCTTGCTCAGCGACCCTCCCTTTACCGCTTCCCATTTATGAGGTCAGTACCGCCTTCCATGTGATGACCCCACCAGCTCTGTGAAATAGCTCCAGGGTCCGGTTTCCTCATCAGGAAAATGGGATTTAGGATGAAAAGTAACTCTTTTGTGGGGTTGTAGAATCCATCCTTCCATCCAAGTCATGTTTGTTTGGCTCACTTCCCATTCTGTTTGTCAGAGTTGACGCGATTCCCAGGGTAGGTCACAAGCCGGGATCCTCTCTAGGTGGGAGCCAGCCTGGAAAACCAGGCCAATAACAGGAGGTACAGAGCTGGGGCATCATTGAAATATTTAGATTGCTCTAGCTCAGGCCTCAAAGGTCTTCCATAAGTTTGGATCGCTTGGTTTTTATTTTAATTTTTCTCCACCTGTGTTTCCCAGCTTGCCTGATCTTAAGATATTCCCAGTGCACCTCTGACAAACTAGTTTTATCCTCAGTTCTGTTCTGTCAGACTCTCCACATCGATGCTGTCCCCTAGTTACAGGCATTTCTCAAGGGGGCAGAGATTTTGGCAGTAAGTGACTTAGGTTCACGTCTGAATGAACTGCCTTCCTCTGCTGCATGAGGGTAGTGATGGCTCTATAGTTTAGACGGGAACGCTGTCTTAGCTAGGGTTTTACTACTGTGAGCAGACACCATGACCAAGGCAACTCTTTTAAAGACAACATTTAATTGGGGCTGGCTTACAGGTTCAGAGTTTTCAGTCCATTATCATCAAGGCAAGAACATGGCATCGTCCAGGTATAAGCATGGTGCAGGAGGAGCTGAGAGTTCTACATCTTCATCTGAAGGCTGCTAGCAGAATACTGCCTTCCACGCAGCTAGGATGAGGGTCTTAAAAGCCATACACACAGTGACACACCTACTCCTACAAGGCCACATCTCCTAATAGTGCCACTCCCTGGGCCACACATATACAAACCATCATAGATGCTGTGAGGACAGCTTTTAGATTAAGTGATTAGAAAATATTAGTACTTATCGGTAGCCAGAAATCCATGTTTATCAATGTTTTTAAGATGTTGAATAGCATGCACCAGTTTTCCAAGTGGTTGGCAGAACTGAGGTTTGAGCTCAGGTTTGCTCTGCCCACAAGCATACGTTTCTGCCTTTAGCCTAGCAGTAGCCCTCATGAATACCCCACACCTCTTCGTCTAGGACTCAAGCCACAGAACAGCTGGCAGAGGTGGGTATAGCATCTCAAGTCAATTCAAGTGACTAGAGCACTGGTTGACAGTGTCCGATTATAACTTAACCTGGAGTCACAGAGGACATGTGAAGGAAGGACCCCAGGGCCAAGGTATCAAGGGCTGGTCCTTTCCCTTACCCAGCTCTATGGTGCAGGGAGGATTCTTCCTGACAGGGAAGGCAGTGGCATTCTCACCGAGTTGCTCATGAAGATTGAGACATGTAGTGTTGTAAACATGAGTAGTCTGGTTCCCCTGTTACCTAGTGAGGCTAAGAACAGGGGACAGAGTGACAGAAACAAATGAACTTTACTGGTAGCAAGCTAGTGAGTTGGAAGGCAAGGGAGACTTCCAGATGTGGTCCTTCCTGCCAGGGGCTGCAGATAGAGAGCTTACTTGGCATTTCTAAGGGTCTGATTTTAGAGCCAGGCAAGTGCCCAAGTGCTCACTAATTCTTCCAGTAGCCAGTTTGCTTGATGTGGTTTCTGAATTGTCTACTAGTCCTCAGGGATCCCAGATGCTGGGAGAGTGGGGGAGGGGGGAGTCCCCGTAACATCTAAAGAAACATTATAGTCAGGTCGGATGAGGAGTGTTGTTCTTTGATATTTTCTTGTTTTCAAGTAAGAATTGTTTTCTTGGTAAATTATAATTTCTTTGGGGAGAATAGTCTGACAGAAACGTGAGACATAGGCTTCTAAGTTCCAGGAGCCATTGGCCTTACAGTATAACGTGGATATCCAGTCTTCCTGTGCTCCTTATTTTGGTTTGCGTGTGATTTAGCTGAATTTTAAAGCAGTTTGAGCCCATTGAAATAAAGAGTGTTTTTGACCAGTATGTGGATTCAAACACCAGTCAGTGCCATCCCAGCCTCAGACAGGGTTTACTGGGTTAGTGGTGTGACAGCGCCCCTTCAACAGGCTTGGATAAGGCCTGTGTGTAGCCAGCTTGCTGTGTGAAAGGTCTCTGCATGCGCATCTGAAGAGATTAGTGTGGGATATGTTCCATTATAATCTGTCTGCTTTTCAACCTGATGTTTTGCGTGTTAAGAACATTGGAAACAGGCCTAAGCCAGTGAAACTGCCTTAGTATGCACTGGCTGCACTGGTTAACTGTGTTTGTTAATGAATGTCTACCGAGACCAGAGAAATGTGTTTTGATGAGGCTCCCTGAGCCTTGGCCAAGAGATCAAATGTTAGCACTAACAGAGTGTTCCTGTCCCCTTTGAAAGCTGTTTCGAGGTCTGGCGCAATGATTTAACAGGTACCTGGTGCTTCACCTGATGGCCTGAGGTAGATCTCCAAGATCTCCACCTTCAGGAGAACCAACTATTGCAAGTTATCCTCTGACTTGTGCGCCACAGCACCCACGCATGCCTGTACACATGCGCATTTACACACATACACACACAAAATGGATAAACTAAAAAATGGTTGCCTCTATGGATAAGAAAGAGAGCATATTACGGGGGTCTTTGCCAACACTAGGAACAGCAAGGTAATGATCACTGTGAGCCGAGAAGGAAGTCTGGTTCAACACAGCTCAGTACCCAGGGTTGGTTCTAAAATTTGTGAGTCTGACAACAGGCAATTTGTTTCAGGCATATTTAAGTGCAGCCAATTTGGAAAAAGGTTTCCTGGTGACAGTCACCTCAATCCCATGTGTGCAACAAAGCTTAAAGCGTGGAATACTACATCAGGATTCTTTGAAAAGCACAGATGACATCTTCCGTAAAGATGAGTTCTATAGACTGACTTCATGTGCCATTGTAAAGGTGGGGCGGGGTCTGGAATCTGGTCTGGTCTCAATCATTCAGATAGAGCAAAGGTCTCCAGGCTATAAACCGCCTCCACTATCTGCCTTCTGGGCAGAAAACAGGTTCTCCAGTCTCTTCTTTCGAAGAGACAACTGCGTGTTTAACATCCCTGGCTTTCCCTGTGATTCTCTGTG